TTTAACACAGGCAAGAATCTGATTAACTCAAATAGACAGCAACTTTGTAGCCAAATGAAAGAGAAACAATAATAGTAAGAGAATCAGATACCAAAATCAGGAAAGGCAGCAACAGGCGGTGAAGATCGATGATTGGGTTTTTGTTGGAGAGGTGATGGGGTGTGATGAGTAGTTTTAGACCCAAAAACAAGACGAAATTGAGGGTCTTTGTGCACTGAAACACATGAACCCATTTCTTCTTTAACAATCACAAACTAATCCATAGAATTTAGACAAGTACAAGTGAGAGAAAACACCTAAAGAGGGAAGAACAAAGGTCCTGCCTGCTACTATTACTCATACACAAAGAGTGACTGAAAAAACTCTTCAAATGGGACTTGAAAGCGAAGTTATCGTTTTCCTAAAGAGTAGAATGGCTTTGGTCCCACACTATAAGTGCCCTTTCCCATTCGGTGTCCTGTACTTATTTAAGATTTTTTCATATTCAAGAAAGATTTCTAATTTAAAAAACCACATCCACAATAACGAATCCTTTGGTTGGTTATTTTACCACATAACGACTTAATAGTCGCATTTATTTGACAGACTGAACTTAAATATACCTATATTTAACATGATTGAGATACACCTCTAAATTCTCGTCAAATTTAAGAGTGTTTTCAAGAATTTCATGCACCTACAAGAGTTTGAGATCACTTTTTATGTTATGTAACAAATTGTGAACGTATCTGAATTTAGTTAATTAAGTAAATAAATGTTTTTAAGACTTTTAATAATTTGAAAAGTTGAGTGGTGGTGAGTGGGAAAAGATTTGTTTTTGCTTAATCATGAGGTATGCTCTATTTGTTACCTGATTAATTTAAATTTATGCTAAATATGTCTATCAAAGATCTAATTAATAATATAAAAGACTTTTTTTATATAAATTACAAGGGATTATATTGATTAATTTCCTTGGAATTATGTGACCTTTTAGAATTATTATCATGTGATAGTTGCATAGGAATGTGGCTGGAAAAGTGGCAAGTTTATGGCTTCACCTTTGTTCAGATTCCCCTTTTTGCTGATGAGAAAAGTATTCTTTGTGTTTTTTTTTTCTTCTTCATGTCTTTTATATAATATAAAAATAAAAATAAAAATTATAAATACAATTAAAAATACACTTGTAAATGGTTATTAGTTAATTAGAAATCTCGAGTTCAATCCTGTAAATAAAGTCGTCTTTAATAGAGATTATCGCTATACTTTCAAAATGATTTTCTTAATAAGTTTAGATTAATCAAATTTCAAATAAATCTCAAATATCAAATCAAACGAAAAAAGAAAGATATATGTAGTTGAGGGGAAGGTGAGAACATTAAATATAACTTATCTTTTGTGCTAGCTAGGTCAATATGCAAATTAAATGAATATGAATGCATGGTGTTTAATATTTTGGTCCTGACAAGTTGTAAATTGTAACAACCCAATACTGCAAGAATAAGGCATGCAAATAATGAGTCTACTATATCATTTTATTTTTTTTCCACTCAGTGTCCAGAACTCATATTGGATCTCTAAAGCTTTTAACGATGAAACAATTTCACCACGACACCACAACATATCAATGTCTTATGGGTTCAAACTTTATTACTCCTTCAACCAAGTAGAGAGAAAAACGCTATATATTTATAGAACTTAATTTCCTGCCATCTTTATTATTATTATTGTTATTTGTCATTATTGCTAGCTAGACCAAATTTAGTAAGTGTTCGTTAAAAAAATGAGATTAAACAAAAAAGGTCTACGTCTATATGTAGTGTAAACGTTGATGAGAATATGATATATAACAGTTTCTTTACTATCCTAATTAAATAGATGAAAGACTCTAGCTAATTTATGATAGAAATATTTGAACTCATAATAATAAAAATAAAATACGGCGTCTAATACTAAAAAAATTTAATATATGGACCCATACTATTATAATCAGTGGCAACCATGAATTTCACAAAGGGTGTCCACAAATAGCATAATAAAAGCTTTTTTCAAAAAGTAGAACTAGTGAGATTCAAACATACGAGCACTACCTCATTTCAAGCATCTGAAACCACTGGGCTACAATAGTTTGTAGTGTTAAGGGTGTCTAAAATATGTTATTTAATCATTTCATGTATCATTTTTCTTGTATATACGATTTTTTTCCGACGAAGGGTGTCCAATTGGACAGTCTACCACCATATAGCAACGCGACTGATTATAACTATATTCATTCTTAACTAGAAATTTTGAATTTCAAATCCTGCTAAGTATTGAATCACCTTTATTAGAGATTGTTTTACTTCTAATATGAAACTTTCCTTTAGCCGAATCCGATACAAATCCAAATAAAAAAAATCCTAACATATATGTTAGGAATTGCATTAGCTCAGAATTAGGTGTTGGAAGAAAATGAGTAAATTATTATGTCATTTTCTGATAGGACGATATTTTAGTCACTTAAATTGACAAATACTGTACATAAGAACCAGTCAGGCCCCCACACAGATATAGCAACATCATGTCTTTTCATTTTATCCTCGCATTACAAATCTTATTTTGTTACATATTATTATATCTTTTTTGAATTTAAGTCTTGAAAATAAATAATTTTACTCAAATTCTAACTATTATAGGTCAAAATTCTAACAAATCTTAACATAATCTAACTGATAAATATCTACGATATTGAAAAGGACTCATCTTCACTCCAAATATCATCCTTTACGATAAGACTTTAAAAATGGTTTTCAAATTGATCTAGATGCTGCAGCTCTTCAAAAATATACTTTTTAAAATAAATTAATTTGTATCCTTTTGAAGAGAAAACATTGATATAATAAATATTAAAGTGGGTAGCTCCCCATATATTAACTCAATTTTCCCAAAGGTATAAGCTAGTGTGGTCCAACACTTCTCACATGTACAATTAGTATATGATTAATTAATTGTTAAAGATACTTAAACAAGAGATAACACCATAAAGAGAAAAGGTTGGATAGGTGAAAAGTATATAGTAGAGAAAGCAATAAGTGAGCTTTTTGTCCATTTGCTTTCTTCATTAGTCGGTCATCACTTGATTTGATGGCCAATGCCCATATACTTATATGGTATGCTTCGGATTGATAAATTTTTAAATGCTATGACATTTTGTTAAATTAGGTCTTGGACCTAACTCACACCCCAAAAGCTAGCTCAAAGGGAGGAGGATTGCCCAAACCTTATAAGGAGTTCACCCATCTCATTAATCACCGATGTGGGACTTTTGTCATTCTTTAACACATTTCATATATTAAAATAATAAAAGAGGAAAGTGAAGAGTTTACAAGGTATATATAGCTCAACTACAATATTGATCGATTTTTTTATTTTGAGTATGCCTTTTTTAATAACTTTAGTATATATTGTGTACTACTCAATATATACTAGTAATTAATTTGTTGGACTATATAACTAATATTCGATTTTGAATAAAAACAGATTTGAATGGGACACTATTAACTTTTTCCTCATATATAGTGATACGAGTTCTTACTCATCACTCTGACTCATGCACCACTCATTATGAATCTATTGCAAAATATCTTTGCTCCACTTTGCTCCTGTTCTTCACAAATCAATTCTGTGTTGACCATTTATTTTACTTTTTTCGGAAACTTATCGAATTTTCACTAATTTAGGGATTAATTATTTAAATATATATACTTAAATTTATAATATTACGAATCTTACCAGATTTTGGTGCGTCCAGATACGTGAAGTCAAAATTAGGTGTAATTTGTTCTAAATACAATGTATCCAAATGGATTCGCTTGTATATGGGATACATGACTATCTCCCTTCTCATCTCGCTCACCTCCCTCCCCATCTCCCTCGCCTCTCTCCCTATTTTAGTATATTTGGTAGCAAAAATATATGTATTTAGGTGTATCTTCCTCAACATATGATAGAGAACTCTTAATTAGTGGTATACATAGTTATTTGAAAATATAGGTAAAATTAATACTATATGATATAAATGTATATCTAATAAGATAGTTTTCCCTATTTTGTTTAGAGCAACTTTCACATATAACAAACATAAAAATCAAATTTGTATGCTATAGCTATAGTTTGTATAATTGCACTCCATAACAAACTTTCATCAAATTGTATAATTCGTTGGCTCCTCTTCAGATTTGTATAATTTCGCTGGCAGACCATTTGTATAAATTGTTGTCAACCTCTCGTTTGTATAAATCGCTAGCAGCCTCTTAATTCAATTTTATGTGTTTGTATATCTACATAAAATTTGAATTTGTATACACTTGAATCGAAATAAAACGTTTGTATATCAAATCTCTCTCTCGCTTTTATACAAACATAAATTATACATTGTATTTTGTATAATCTGTATTTGTATAAAACGAGAAAGAGAGAAAGGCAAAAGAGAACTGGATAGGGGAATATTGTATTGTATAATTATAAGTGTATAGGACGAAAATATATGTATTCACATGTGTATATACAATTTTCTCTCGCTTTATACAAACGAAAACACAATTTATACATTTTTGTTTGTATAAAGCGAGAGAGGCGAGGGAGAGACTGGCGAGCGAGAGAGGGAGAGTGGCGAGCGAGAATTTCAGGGAGAGAGGCGACTGGCAACAGTTTGCTACGGGGCACAATTAAATCAAACTATGGTTATAACATTTAATTTGAATTAATAGTTTGCCATTATATACAATTTTCCCTTTTGTTTATGGAAATACTACTTTGGGCTCAGCTTCAATCAGCCCACCATAAAAATTCATGTTGATCAACCCATTTAATATTGGGCCATTAAATGATACGAGTAGTTATTTGTTGCCCAATGTCAAATTATCGACATCAATATATATTAGATTGATCACAATATGGTTTGAAATTGTAATTGTGAAAAAGGAATGTCTTTCATTAATGAATATTGAGAATGCATGTATATATCAAATCAAATATCCATATAAAGAATGTACTATATATTTACCAATACAAAATTAAACAAACTAATGACTATGTTGCTTGTACTCTCAAAAAAAAATACGATTGATATATATATGTAACTAGCAACGCATCATAATGACAAACTCCTCAAAATTGAGCAAACCATCACCATTGATATCATATCTGGCTATCATTCCTCTGCACTCATCAACAGTCCTCTTCTCCCCTAACTTATGAAGCATTCTCTTTAAACTCTCCGGCGTTATGCATCCACACCCTTCCATCTCATACATCCTAAACGCCTCCTTTAACTCGCGCTCCTTCTCTTCTTCCGTCCCTCCATCTTCCACTAATCTCATAAAATCGTCAAAATCTAATAAGCCATCGTTGTCCGAGTCATGGGCCACAATTGCTGCCTCTGCCTCCTCAAACAACAATATGTCTTTGCCTATCAAATGCACACATTGTTGCAACTCCAATGCTGATATTTTCCCATCTCCATTCTCATCTATATGCTCAAAAAGTCGTTTGTATCCTTCCATCCTTAATTATATCAACCACACTATGTGTATATATATATATATATATTGAGAAAGCGCACAATCACAAACAAAGAAAGTAGAGAAGAAAAATAACCCAAGGATTTAACGAGGTTGCAACAACAAATAGAGTATTCCACTATGAAAGAAAAGTCAGAAGCGTACAATGTTGTAAAATCTTCAAATATATATATAGATTCCAAGTAATCCTAAACCTATAAAGACAACATTTTCTTTTCTCAAATTCCTAAAATATACGCGAGAAAAATGGAAGACAAAAGTGAGAGGAATAATAGTATTCAACTAGGTATTGAGAATAAACCATATAGTATATAAATATATATATATGTTTGAAAGTAGAAAAGTAAAATTAATAACGCGTGGTGTGTGTGTAAAGGAGATTAATATAAAGGTGCGTTTGGTTATTGATTTATCAAATTTCGTCTTGTTAGGCTTCGAGAAATTAAGGAAACAACATAGAAATATCTGAGAATGTTCCAAGTTTTGTGGAAGAAGAAGATAAAAGTCATTTTGGATTAGAATATTTTAAAGTCAAATAAATAACCAGTAAAACATAGTTTTCTCAGCCCTTATATTGGGTGTAATAAAGTCCAAATTCAACGTATTCAAGGTGATATATATAAAAGCTTTAAATCGTAGAACTCACACCTTAAAAAAATATTGATTTTACTAATTACCATTTCATTCTAGATTATTAAAATAAAATACTTATATATGTTAAAAGGATCTGTTAAAATATTTTGTTTCCTGAAAATGTGTGGTACTGCACATCCTCCATCATCTGGATCGATGACCTGTACTCCAAAAGAATGTTAGCGTGTAAATGATTCATAAACCTAAATAGAGTAAGAGAGTTGATAAGGGAAACATAGATGATAATAGAGATCATATCGAAAATCAAAAGAATTCCGCCGTCGTTAGGTGTGAAGCATGCATGGTTGTTAGTTAATATATCAATTTTCACACCATGGATTATTTAATTTCGTTGAACGTGTTATGCATTGGACGGTTCATTTCAGTGTTAGCTAAACAAATCGATCGTTCATATATAAGATTTGTCCATAACACATATTCCAAAGATATTCATATTAATTATACTAGGCCTATTACTACAGCTACAAAGCCCACCCTTGTTATATTTATCCCACATGCCTAGGATTGTTCAAAATCCAATCGAAATTAATAATTTGAATCGAATTTTTTTTATTGATTTATCGGTAATTGGTTATTGATTTAGGCAGTTTAGTAATAAGTTTTGATTTTTTTATCATTGAGTTATCAGTTCTTAACGGTTAGATGTTTTTTCTTAACAGGATAATCGATAATCCGATAGAAAATCAATAAATTATGTTTATACCATTTTGTTTTTGAGCAAGATGAAATCTATCAAATCACGTATGGTTCGTTCATTTGGTTTGTTACCATGTTTCTAAGTGATCTTCAATGATTTTTTATTTTTTTTTGTATTAAATCTCTTAACGATTAAATCTATAACAATCAATAACTAATAAGAATATTTTAATGATTTAATAAAGATTTAGCATATCTATAGACTAATAATCGATGAGTCAAATCAATAAATTTCAAAACCGATTGAACACTGTTATAAAAGCTGCTAAAGTTAAAGTTCACATGTAAATTGTGATAAAGAGTAAGTTGATGGTAAAGTAAGTGCATGTCCATGCAAATCCGGTGGACGCGGTCGATGAACTAATTTACATTCGACACGTGTCATTTAACTTCTCCCCCAGTCGTGTGGACTGTAGTTTCCCCCAATCAGATCTTTTCGTTAACCACGACAAATACAAATAAATGTGGGACCCAATTCATTTCCTCCACCACTTGATGGTTGACACGTGTCACGCAGCTCGTGTCATTGTCGTAAATAAATCCCACATTCAGGGACAATGTTTCACTCTCCACCATCTTCGCGTCTCTAAAACCCCAATTTACTTACTTTAGAGAAACCCTCTTGATTTCTCTGGACGGCTATACAGAGAATCATTTTCCGGCCGGCGATGGCATTGCTCAGCCGTATTAGAGCGGCGGTGCAGCCACTTATTCGGACTGAATCTCTAAGGTCTTACGGATCAGCTGCGGCTCAGCTAGTAGACTACGATTACGATGATTACGAATACGAAGAGTATCAGAACCGGAGCTACGTAATGGAGGAATCTGAGGGATCGATTCCTCGAAGGGGAGTGCAGTGGGTGATTATGGGTGATCCTATGGCACAGAGACACGTGTATGCCCAGTGGCTCTCGAAGCTTCTAGATGTCCCTCATATTTCCATGGGTTCACTCGTTCGTCAAGAGCTCCACCCTCGTTCTTCTCTCTACAAGCAGGTTTTTATTTATTCTGCATTTCTGTTTGTTTGAGCTTTCAATCTATCTGCAATGGAAAAATGAAAAGAAAAATTGTTCTTTTAGTTATTAGCTGGTCTTATTTTTGACAAATTGTTAAATAATTGAAAGAAATTAGCTTGAATTGAGGGATTGAATACCAAAATTTACATATAGTTGATCCATGCTAGTTCAGAATGAAAAGTATAAAAGCTTGATTGAGCTGGTCTTATTCAATTGTCAAAAATAAACTACTGTCAAACCTTTTAATTGCTGGCTTGATTAAATGATTAATCTCTGGATTAACATATAATTTACATAAGTACACTATAAAACATGTAAATTTGATTTTCCTTGAGTAATTTGTCATGTAAAATGGAACAAAGGAGTACTTTCTTTTGCTTTAAGATAGTCTCACATTACACACTTGTTCTTTTCTTTTTGTTTGTTTAACCCAATAATACTCTCCATCTTTGTGTATGGCCCAATGAAGATAGCAGATGCTGTCAACCAGGGAAAACTTGTCCCGGAAGAGGTTATATTTGGTTTATTGTCAAAGAGGCTAGAAGAAGGATACTGCAGTGGTGAAAGTGGATTCATCTTGGATGGGATTCCTCGATCAAAGATTCAAGCTGTAAGTTTAGCCTCCCTTCCATATCGTAAACAGTTTCTCTACCTCTGAGGGTAGGGGTAAGGTTTGTGTACCCTCCCCAAACCCCACTTTGTGGGATTACAGTGAGTATGCTGTTGTTGACGACTTCTAGTGTTCTGGACAGAATAATACATAAACTTGTTAATAAAATGGTCGAAAGTAAATTTTATTGTACTTTTCTCAGACTTTGATCAAAGAGGCCTGTTTATTTTCAAATGATTTATGTTGAACCGGTGTTGGAAATTACATACACTTCTGGTTTATTTCTGCAGGAGATCCTGGACAAAACTGTGGACATAGATTTAGTTCTGAATCTTAAATGTGCAGAGGATTTGGTGTCAAAGAAAGATAAAAGCACTGGGCTTTATCCACCACTGGAATTCCTCCGCAGGGGGGCTTCTGGAATTAGTACTAGTCGTCAGCCAGAGGGTGGTCATTTTAGGCCTTCAAGTATCATGGATGATGTCTCGAGGAAGAACCTGCATGTGCATGCAGAGCAGGTACATAATGATGCCGTAAATTTTACAGTTGCAAATATTAAAAAAAATTGATGTTGTAAATTGAGATGAATAGAATTGTATTCAATGAATAGGACTACAGATTGCCTTCTTAGCATTATTGATGTGTATCAATACTAGTGCTTGCTGAATTAGACATGCAAATGTGCTGCTTCAAAATGTCATTTTAGGCCTTCAAGTATCTTGTTTGAGGAAAAATCAAATCAAAGATCTTTTGCTTGATAGCTAATATACTGAGTACCTGATTGCTAATTGAACTAACCATTGCTGAAATGGTTTATATGTCTATGCCATATTGTTCTGGAACTTTTGGTACTCACTTGGTCTTCTTCACGTAGTTTTACTTTGTTTGTGCTGATATCTGAAACAAGCTATATGTTTCAAAAGTGATGTATCCTGCAGTTGTGATGTGATGTATTATGTGAATCGTATATTCATTGTTGATCAATTTGTTTAAATATGCGGTTTGATCTTTCTTTCATTTAATAGCACTATAAAACTAATTGCATGATCTTGGATCAAAATTTTCTCAGTTGGAACAACATCAACTAATACATATCACCATTCTGTCTTATTTAGGTCAACCCGCTAGAAGAATACTACAGGAAACAGAGAAAGCTCCTTGATTTTCAAGTGGCTGGAGGGCCTGGAGAAACATGGCAAGGCCTTTTGGCTGCTTTGCATCTTCAGCACAGGAATGCAGTTGGTTCTACACAGTTGACCGCAGGATGCTGATCTTCATTCTTTTTGCAAGCATACTAAGTATAGGGAATATGAGTGTAACAAACTCTAATTTTTGGGCGGGAATACATGTATTTTTGTTTCATTTTTGTTTAATAGAGTACAATCTAGTTCTACTGCAGAAGAGGTGTGAGCATTAGACAAGCTTACATTATACTCTCCATATATAGATTTCTACAAAGTGCATTTTTCATGAATGCTTATGTTGTGTAAAACTTCAAATCCACGTTTATTAGTTTGTGTTGTGGCAGTTGTCACCCATATGATTCTTGAATGTATCGTGTTCTGCAAAGTTTGGCTGTAAAAGCTATACATTGCGCTTCAATAGTACTTTGTATATTTTCCTGATGTTGATAATTGATAGTCTGTAAAAGATAGAAAATAAGGACTACAGCGATTGCCTAAGCTGCAAGCATTTATTCACAGAAGTAAAGAAGGCAGTGTACCATATTGTTGCTTACACATTTCGAGAGGTCAAAATTATATTATTCACTGTTTATCCAAACTTCCCGAAGGAGTTGATACCTAACAGCATTTCCATTTCCATTTCCGCTACCTTCTGCTAACCTACTGGATTTTACAAGAGGTGAAGTTGCAATGCCCTCAGAAATGATAAAGTTCAAATCTAGTTGGTCCAGTTCATCATCACTTGTGTATGACTTCTTGAGCACTGAAGATCTGTTTCGTCTCAGCTGAGTATGGCGACTAACTTCACCTAATAGACCATCAACTGAAGCTGCTGAAGGTGGCTTATAAGCTATAGGAGCTGCTGTGCATGGGTAGCTCATGACAGAATCTTCTTCGGCATCAAAAGGATCCTAACCAGAGAAAATTGCAGACAACTCTTGGTTCATTGTATTGTTATAATTAAAATGCTTAGTTCATCAACTTTACTCCAAACTCTAGCATGGAAAATGAACAAAATCAAAGAGATGATATGAGCTTACCTCGGAGTTAAGAGCTTCAAGTACAACTTCATGTATTGGATCAGGGCAAAACTCATCCGGGAC